ATAAAAGACCAATCCAACTCTCAAAAACACTCATCATATGGGGGAACTTGGCTGTGGTGTTCTGCTTCCCTCATTGTTACTGTGTTGATACAGGATTCTGCGGTGTTAAATTCAAGGTAGACCTAATGGCACAGGGAGACAAGGGAGAGGGAAACCAAGACCTGCAGCCTCTCTCATCTCCAGGGGCAAGGGACACAGGGAGAAAGGCCCTGCCCTAAGCACGTAGGTAAGGGCAAATTCTACGTGGGCAAATCTCCTGCTGTGTTACTTTCTTTCCATGCAGATTTTCCTGAGTTTGAGATGTGGTTTGGCTTTTTTCTTTATCGATGAAAAACTTCCAGAAGAAATTTGTAGGGAACAGAATCTACCTGGAGTACCTTGTGGTGCATATGCTGCAGCCAGAGCTGTAAGCTCCAGCATAAGAGTAGGGCAATGATGGGTTTCTGCCCAGGGAGAGGAGAAGCTCAGGGGCCAACACTGCCAGGAGTGTGCTTATGAAAATCTGGCAAGGGTTGGGGAGAAGACACTCCTGAGGCAGCAACATTAAGGCTTTTTTAAACTCCCTACAACCACTAAATCACCAAAACCCTTTAAAACCCAACACAACAGCAGCCCTTTGAAATAATTTCTTCCAGCTTTCATGCCCAACATCTCCTGCAGCAGGACCAGCTATTCGTTTTGAAGTGGCATTTCTCATCCCACAGCAGTATTTCAAGCACCATTTCCTACCTTTATCGTATAAAACTGGCAGGGCTGTTCCTCATTTGGGTTTATTCATGCGTCTGTATCTCCAGTCATGTGAACACCAAGTCCTTCTCTCCACAATTACAAAAATAAACTGTAAACAAGTATTTCATTTGTACCTCCCTGTTGTCATCACATTTTCCTTCCCTGCGGCTGTAAGTTTCCAAGGCAGAAGAGATATTTAATGATCAAACATACTAACTGGCACTGTTTATTCCTAGAAGAAAAGCACATTAATAAAACAAGAAGTACTTCAGTTAAGTGATAATAGACCAGGCGCCACATTTTGCAAACTAATAACCTGTCGATACCAGAGGATTAGTGCTAAAAAGAACTAGATACCCTTTCCGTTATTGCTGTCAAATAGAAGACAGTACCTGGTGCCAGTTTACCAGCTGGAATTACATGAGTAACATAAAAAAATTATGCTCCTCTAGTCTGAAAATGGCACTTGGCTGCTGCCTACTCATCTACCCAAAGCTCCAATTCCAAATAGTTTGCTGCCTGGAAATGAAAATATCGGTTGTATATCATGAAAATGTCATCTATCTATATATATCATGATATAGGATATCTCATCATATTATATATATCAATAATATAAGTAAGGTTAGGACTGAACCAGCCAGCTTACATTTGTCTGTAAGCAGAGGAACAGGAAAATAATAGAAATGCTCCTACTTTTCTCAACTTTTAAAACAATTAGTAGTTAAAATTATTTTAACTGTTTTTATGTAAAACAAAGGTGCTATTCATGAGCTGAGGGAAAACAGGCATATTTACACTTGAACAGACTACACTGCCATCAGTAATGATGCATTTTGATTTGAATGCAGATGCTCTAAGCTGAATACTGCCCCAGCTAAGATGCTGGGCAAGGTCTCTCAAGCTGACAGGGATCTCTGCACTGGGACTGACAGCAGGCCCGTGAACCAACTGATGATCTCATGCTTGCTGCCTACTGGTGCTATTGAAGTTATAAATTGTGCTTATATTGAAATTACAAACTGTGTTTTATACACAGTGCGTATGGAGAAACAGTTCACCACCAGGTGGCAGAGATGCCAACTTTAAGAATTTCAAATGCTAGAGAGACCCAAACGGCAGCACTGATTAAAAAACCCCCTTTACCTGTCGCCCATACATTTTAGAAAAGCAAACTGAGATTCTTCTCCTCAGTTGACCAAGTCCAAGGCTGTACTGGATGGATGCTACTGTGCCCCATGCCCCATGTTACAGCCTATTGATAGCTTAAGAGGTATGGTGTTATAACAAGCTTTAATCCTCAGGTGAATTCTCTTTGGTTAAGAAAATGCCTTTTTTGGTTCACTATGGACCTTCCTAGAGAAAGAGTAAATATCTAATCTAACACTTTCTCATTTATACCTGTACTATTCTACAGGCTAAACCCTACATGGGACATGTAATTTCTTACCAATTTCAACCTTGCTGGTTTAGGGTATTGATATAAAATTGGTCCTCCAGAGCATTCATGGATAGAATGAAGGGCAGAAAATGCAAATACTGCCGAGGTATTTCAGGAGTGCAATCACTCTGCTAAAGCTACTCAATCCTTCCTGTAAGAGAGAAAAGCATCACGAGCAATTTCTAAATGGTGGGGGTTCTTTTGTCAACTGTTCATCTAAGCTCAGTAAAATTTTGTGTATTTGTGTAATGTGTTAAGATTGCAAATGCTCTGAGGCAGGAATCATTTTTTCCCCCCTCTATTTGTAGAAGTTTTAGCATGCTGGTACCCTGAAGAAGCACTTAATCAAATAATAAAAGGTCATTATCACAATAAGTCAAGGTGCTTTACAGAAAATTTAATAAGCTTTGAGAAGCAAGTATTTCAGTGGGAACAAAGTGGGAGCTGGGGGAAAACCATGAAGTGAATGGACTCTTCATGAGTGTATTAACTCCCAACAGCCCCTATGATATAAAAGGACTTTGGATAATATAACCTAAGATTTAAAAATGATCTTTACTCTTTCACTCATTATCCATTTGAAAATACTGATTGCTGATAGATTAATTGAAGACCTGTTCCTAGTATTAAGTCCAATATATTGTAATTACTTCTTCAAGTTTTGTCATTACAATCTTTTGCATTTTTTCCCCATTAATACTTGGCATAAAAAAAATAAGAAAACAAGTGCTTTTCTAGGTAATCTTCTACATGGACGAAGATCCCTAGGAGCTGCTGATGCGGAGACCTGTTCAAGTTATACTTTGTTTTCTATGTTTTATTACCTTTATTGGTACTTGCTTCACTGTGCAACTGCAAAATATAAGCAACAAAATTTCTTCATATTTTACCAAACTATCTTCCTCAGTATGTTTTTGAAAATTAAACCACAGAACTTGTCACTGGACTTTAAGATTACACAAAGTGCATACAACGGACGCACTCTAATCTCAACCCGTAATCTGATCTGTGTTACTCTCTTGCAATTTCACTTAACATGTAGCTCAGATGTGTTGGATATACTGAGAATTACATTTCATAAACTATATATTCTGCAAAATCAAACTACTATATGGCTGGTGATAGCACAGCAATTAAAAAACCCCCGCTATTTTAAAGAAGATTTGCAAAACATCCACACTGTTTGTTCAAATGTATTTGCTGTATTAGGACCACAAATCATCAAACCATCAAAGTATGTGTTTTGAACATAAACCCAACACAATTAAAGAAACAAACCACTGCAGTTTAATAGCAACAATCTCACTTTACAAGATAGCAACGATGGAAACTTTGCAAACGAATCTGAAAAAGTATGTAATAAAAAATGACAGATTTAAGACAACAGAAAGTTGAAAATTAAATAGCATAATAATTCTAGTATGTGGAAATTTTAACCAGAATGTTTACTTGATGCAGCATTCTGATTAATAAGTGACACTGTATTACCAGAACTTACTGACATCTGATAAATGCTATTCCTTTAAAGTAGTATCTTTCTGTTCAGCCACCTTGCACAGAGCGACAATAAGTAACCCAGACCCCAGAGCCAGTTCACATGTAGTCAGTAGCAAAATTTCTGAACAGAAGAGGAAAGGACCTGGAACGCATGCGATGACTAGAACATAACTTACTGCTAATACGGTGATTTCAATATTCAATGCACTCCACAAATATTATTTTTGATTTCTTTTACCACATATACCACTTATAAACAAGAATTAAAGCAGAACAGAGGTGATGTGGCTTTGTGGATGGAGAGGAGCACTAGACTGGGAACTTGGAAACTGGGATCCAGTTCCTGGCTTGAGCTCAGACTCCCAGGTAAGACATTCAGTAAGATGGAAAATACAACACTGGCCTCCTAAGAAAACCTTGAAATTTACTGAAAAAAGAGAGCAATGAATCTGAATCAGGGCTTATTACTGAAAATTAAAAAGGAACTACATAACACTTTCTCTAATCACTTTAGAGATTACATAATAATTAACTTTATTAAGCATGACTGCTGCTAATGCTGAGTAAAAATAATTGAATGAAACGTGATAAACTGAAAAGTGTAAGAAGGATTCCACAAGAGTGGAAGTCACATACCTTCCCTTCTTTGAACCCAATTGATGAAGAAGTGAGAAGTGTGCAATAAGTGTGAGTACCCACAGAAATCTCTGAGAGAAAACTGGTCCCACAGGAAGTATGACTCCATAGACAATTTTGGTGATACTAGGATTTCATTTCCAAAGTCTTTAGTGATGCTTTAGCAAATAGTTACGAATTTATCAAGATAGGGAGGACGCTTTTCTGAAAAGGGGTCTAAATTTCTGTATTGACTGAAGTTCATGAGAACTGCAGAAGAAAGGGTGGTAGTAAGTCACACAAGCATAAATATGCACAGCAAAAGTGAAACCAAAGTATTTTTCTTATTAAATAATATAAAATAATGTGATGACCACCAACAGAGGAAAAAATCCACAAAGATATTTTTTGCAGTTTATTTTCCATTATCATTTTTGGATAACCAAGCAGCTCTGTATGGAGAAAGCACAGAAGAGTCATTCTGGCACTTTTGGATAGTACATTTTTTTTTTTTTTCTTTTTAAATTTTCTAGACACATTCAGTCCACTTACTCGGTCTATAGTCCATTTTATATGAGCATGATTAGCTCATCTGATTCCAGAGGAAACTAACAATATATACAGTCAATGAAACTATCTTCTTGGCTACTCTGGGCCCTTTAAAATGTCTTCTAAGTCTATCCTGGCTAAACAGAATCCACAATATACATGATAGCTACAGAATACACTGTATTGAAATGAGAAATGCTCAGCACAAAATGGGACTCTTGGCATGCAGCTTAAAATAAAAGGTAGAAGTTCAGAAGTTTATAAAATCCCAAATGGGGTCAATTAAAAGGAGTTAGCAAAAGAAGGGACTGTTCATTGTTACTGTAAAAAAGGCACTTTGAGTAAACGGGACCAGAATTGGAGGAATCTTAGTCGACACAAAGTTCAGTTTGGTTTCATAAAAAGGCTTCAATGCTAAGGGATGCTACTCAAGTTTCCTGCAGTTTTACATTAAAATAAATTGCTGAGTAGTTTATAATAAAGGACATAAAATGTTTACAACCAACTTGTAAAATTAAGAAAAGCATAGTATAAGCAAAATATTACTAAAAGCAGCAATGCATAGCCTTTCATTGAGATAATGCACAATTTTGGACACCATGTGTCAAACTCGTGTTTTTAAGATACTTTCAGTAGCATTATCAACATAAAATTGGCCTACAAAACAAAAGCTTTACCAGCTCCCATTCACAAGGAGATTGAGGTCATAAACCAACCAAAACAATTTGTCAGTATTTTCAACATCCTGGATGACCAATATCAAGTATATGGAATAACAATCACACTCTTTGTTCAGCTATCTCACTGGAGGCAGCTGTTAAATCAGAGGAATGATTTTAATTCTTTTCTAACATTTACACAGTAATGCATTTAAGTTCTTTCAAATGTTGCTCACCACAGTTTGTTTTTCTCTTTTCTCTCCACAACAAAAAAAAAAAAAAAAGAAAAAGAAAAATCAAGCACTTCCACAGAAAGAATATTTGGCAATTTTATACTCCACTGAATGGTGGATTTTCACAATAGCTCACTTTAGATTGAAAGTCATTAGTGGTCTTTCCTCTCGTTTCTGCCAAGGACTCTTCTTATCTTCACCTTGGTCATCTTCCTCATCCTCCTCATCCTCCTCCTCATCTTGAACTGATGTTCCATGTTCAGGACTAGTTAATGGCTCTGGTTTGGTGTCCACAGTTCTTGTTTCCTCCTGCAGGCTGGGCAGCTGCACACCACTTCTCTTACCAGTGCCTTCTAGTAGGCATCGTAGAGCATTGTCCTCAGGGCTACAAACTGCTGTTCCACACTCGCTGCCACTTTGGTCCATATCATCCAAGTACACAAGTTGTGTGTAAGCTGTGCTATCTGAAACCTTCCGCTCTCTCTGCTGGTGCTCTTGCACTGGTGGGTGACTCTGTGGCACAGACGGATGATCTCCTCTTCCCTTTCGGGCAGATTTTGGTTCATTCATGTCAACACCAGAGTCCAAACTGGCATCGTTACTCCCGTTCCTACCAGCTCTTTGGAGATCGATGTATGAATGTCTAACGTGAGCATTTGAACGTCCATCTAGAGAAACGAACCATGCCCGAGGATGAGGCAATGGCTTTCCACCTCCTAATTCCATCAAAGCCTTTTCTGTAAGAAGCTGCACTTCGCTATTCATTTGAGCCAGGGATGCATCATTAAGTGAGGCAGGAATGGAAATAGATTCAGACATGGAAGCATTCTGTTGACTCCACTCAGCTGCACCTGTGTCTTGCAAATGTTGCTGAGATATTGCTTGGGATGCTAACTGTTGGGGTTGCAGCTGTTGGGGGGGGTGTGGAAAAAGCCGTGCATGAGGGTTAGGAAGCTCAGCCTGAAGTCTTTCTATATCAATCTGCTGGTCAGCTGGGACAACCAGTGGCTGGCTAACAAAAGGGTGCTCTCCTGGCAATTTCATGTAATGACCTGGGATGACCAATGCAGGCAAAACTTTTCTGTAAACACTGTCATTGACTTGGTCAACAGAATTGCAGCAGATTAACTGACCTGGTCGAGGGAAAGATGTAGGTCTTTCAAGGTGATCAACTGAACGAGACATCATACAATCAGTAGGTCTGCAGTCCAGCAGCTCTTTTTCAGGGGCTGAAGGTGTGGGGTATATTTGTTCCTGAATATTGTATTTACTTCCAGTAGCAATATGGTTCATAGATACTTGAATTTCTCTCTCTTGCTTTTCAAATAAAGGCTGAGACAGCATAGCATTGTAACTTCTCCTATACTCGTCTTTGATAGGGGACTCATAGCCTTCAGCTGTTTCTGTAGATTTTCTTGGCTTTAAAGGAAAACTATCTGCTGATTTGTGGTAGTCTTTTCTCAGAGACCCGCTGGGAGTCAGGTCATCCAAGGAAATTCTGCTCTTGTCTTTCTCCTTGTCAGAGAGCAGTTCCTCTCGGGAGCTAAACTCCTGGGAAGTACTGAATGAGTGTTTGAGCATGGGTGTATGCATATCTGCTTCTCCACTAGGTGATACCATCTCCATGTGGACAGCACTGATTAATTCCTTTGCACCTGAGTTTTCAGTGTGTCCATTGCTAGCAACAGACAGCCCACCAGGAAATTCTGACTCGCGACGTGAAAATATTAAATTTATATGGGACATAGAGGTTGCTTGATCCTTCTTAGAAGTGTCCAGTGCTGTGGAAAGTTGCAGTTTCTTGTGATGCTGACGTGGTCTTAAACATTTTCTTCTATAAAAGCCAGTAACAAAAGAAGTTACACATTTATGACTTTTGTACATGGAAACAAGAACAGCAAGTGTGTCTTAATGGGAGATTTTTAAGCAGTGATTAATATTAGGGGAGTTGAGCTTTTATTACATAATTTAACAATTAGAAGTTTATCCCAGCAGTGAAGATAAAATTAAAGAATAATTAATATCCATTGGGAAATATCTCAAGCACCAACTACAAATTGGAGCAAGTGTCTGGAGGAGGCAAATAAAAAAATCACTCATTAATATACACTTGCTGATAAAAGTTTAACATTTGTTTTGATATAAGACTAATAAAAAGATCACTTGCAAGTGCAGAACAGGTACAATGACAGAGACCTTGGACCTATGCCTACACTCGATAGGAGGTTTTAGAACATCTTACAAGGAAAACACAGGTACGGGTATGTGCGATTCATTCAACTACCATCCTACCTAAGGCAGGGATTGTCTATGCTGCATGTAACCAGGAACATACGAAATTTGATCTCACTGTTTCTTTCCTCTTCAAGTACTTGCTTCCCCCACCCCCTCCAAGTAAAAATGCTTCATTACAAAAGCTTTTAATTTCATGAGCACAAAAAAGCTTATCTTTCCAACATGAACTAAGTAACGAGGATGGTGAATCTTACCTGCAATAATACAAAAGGAGACACAGCAAGACTAGAAGTATGAGAGCCATCCCGCCTAAAATTGCCAAAAGAAACATTGTGTGATAGCTGGTAATGTCGTGTGTTACAACGGGACCTGGAAGGCCAGAAAAGAGAATTTAGACCTATAACAACCTGCAAACAGGAAGAGGAACAACACTTTTTATATAAAGAGAGGGACATCTTCCCTTGTTATCAGGATGCTAAGTGAGCAATGAGCGCCTATTGAGCACACCATCTCTGGAGAAGGGAGCAAGTTGTGGAGAGAGCATGTGCTGGTTTTCATGACTGCGAGTCCAAATAGAGAATTCTGTGGAAAAGCAGTTAGTTTCAATAGGAGCATGCACCAGTGAAAGCTGCCTTCCAGCTCCTGATGCAGACACAGTGCACCAAAGCTCTCATCACTGGAAGAAAAGCCATCACAGCATCTTCCAGCACTGTAATGCATGTAGCAGCATGTGGCCAACAACTTCTCTTTACCAACATTTGTGCTGCTCTTAAGTCTAGATCAAGTCAAGCCAAGCAGATCTTCAGTAGCTTTAAACAACAGGCCACTAGTGAAACAGTGTTGTAACTCCAGGTTTCAATAATGCTTAGTAAATGTTCTAACATACAAAGGAATGCACACATGTGGACAGCATCTGTTCACAATTATGCATTTGTAACCCTGTTGGTTTGTAAAATCCTTATCATGATTTTGTAATAAAGGTCCAAATTTTCATCTGCGGGCAAGGAGGTACAGCACCAGCTGGCAGAGTAACATGCATGTACTGTGAAAGTCAGCAAACTTGGCCAACATTAAGGTTCTAGATCATGAGGTTTGTAAAACTTTGTGGATCTTAAGTGGTCTGTAGAGCCACTGCTAGGAATATAAAGCTCGTTTTTGTCCATTTTTTTGAGATAAGAAATCAAATAGATTCAATGAGGAGATAAAATAAGCAAAAATACATTAACCTGATTTAAAATAACATCAAGTATACTGCATTTGGGAAATCTAAATATTTATACGTTCTGTCCCACCACTACCTTTACATAATTGATTAATTTCAGGACATTAAGCAAAAAGAATAAATCACTTGAATTTTTCATGAAAATGTTGTTCCCACTGCAAAAAAGGTTTCAGGAACCCAGAAAGAAGGAAAAGTAAAATACAAATAGAAATTCTGCCATACAAGTTAAACTGCAAGGACAAATAAGCCTTCTCCTGTTAGAGTTGCAGGCCTTCTAACCTTACAGTTACAGGCACAATTTCACAACTAGTGTAACTTCCTTGCAGTCTGGGGCAGGGCTGTACTGGGAAATGTTTGACTCGGAGCAGTTGCTTTTTCTTAAAGCACAATTATTTTGTAAAATTCCATTAAATTCAATGTGATAGCTTATTCAGATCTGCACCTGCCTCTAAACTCAGTTCAGCAATGAATCAGCTGAATATTCAAGCAGTTCCATTTAATATAACCTCAAATAAAAAGCTTGCATAAGGTATAATACAACAAAAACCTCCAAATGCTCTGCGTGTCACGAAACAACTTAATGGCATATACAAGCAGACTGTAAAAACAGTCCTCATGTTAGAGTTTGTTTTGTTTGTTAGATACAGTTTATTTAGGTTGCACAGCCAAAGCATGAATGTTTTCAGTTCTACTGTATTTGGTTTTCATGCAGAAAACCTAATAAAGAAAATCTGTAAGAGGAGGATTTTTTTGTTTGATTGATTGGCTCTTTTATGCGCACAGGTATCTCTGATTATTGGTGGCCGAAGAACTAAGAAATCCGAGGCAGCCATAAACAGAAAAAAAGGAAGAGCAAGTTGCAACATTAATAATCTCTGAGGCACAGAAGTGCATGTAATGCCTAGTTCAAAGTGATTTTCTACAGTGATGCCTAGAGGCTTGCAGAAGGCAACCAGTCAGCTCACCTACCAATGCTCCTCTGCCAATACACTTCCTAGAACTTCTACACTAAATTATTTGTGGTGTAAATTAATCGGTCACCAAGACGATGCAAGGCATAAGTCAGGGGAAAATGGGCATCTTCAGTTTAAAATTAAAAAAAAAGTTACACTCAATCAATCCATTAGTAAACATCTAACCCAGGATGATGTTGGTCTTAGGTGAATCCATTTCTTTGGGAGTTCCTGTACAGAAACTTCACAGGACATATTTTTCTACCTGCTGGAACACCAATACATTGATGTTATAACTCCTCTCATTTTCTAGCAATGGCTCTACCAGGCAGTGGTGACATAAATGCATCAAAGCAGGAACACTTTAAAAAGTTTCCCATTGAAATGACTCAGAGATTTTGAGCACATGGGTTGCCCCCCACAATCCCCAAAAGATTTTAGCCCTTTACTTTCAGATTTCTGTTTTCTAATAATCCATTATTGATCAAGCTGTGGCATCTCAGATGAGGTCATTCTGAAAAATATAAACATTATATATGAATAAATAATTACTCAGTGCTGGGAATATCAATAAAATTCAATTCCATCTTACCTGGCATAGTAGGTGACATAGCTGCAACCCAGTAGCCCAGCTGAGGTGCAATATAAGTCCAAGTCAACTGATTTCCTTCTTGTTGTACAAGGCCCAAACTACTCTTCAGCCATGTCCCTGTAAATAAAAAGGGTGTAGGAAGGTGTTACAGATATACCCACGCCTGCCTTTCTCTGCAAACAAGTGGAAAAGCAAGCAGTAAGAAAACCTCTCGGTGTGCTGTAGTGGTTGCATGCATTGCTGGGAAGCAGGAGATGGTGCCTTTTTGTCACCGGCATCTAAGGGCTCCCACACGCAATCATCCCCGTGGCCTTCTCAGCAGCTTGGTATACAAAAACCATTTAAGATTAAATAAAACCAATCAAGCTTCAAAAAAGGTTAAAGAAAATAACTAGAATAGTTAAATAATAGATTCCTCTTTTTTTAAGGATTCTTCTGAAACTGACTATATGTAGACAGCTCACTTAAAAACTGTATTTGAAGAGCCATCATTATCTCCCAGACCACATGTGAGTTCTGCACACCACCTTTCTAGCAGTTCTGTCTGTCATCTTATGGAAGACTGAAGAAAATACTTCCTCAAAATGTTGGTTTTCCTACACAGAAAACAAGCTTATAAATGCTATTGCCAGTAAGTGTATAATTAAGTGGCACCATCACGTTGATTCAGCAACGTTAGTCATTCAGAATACATATACATCTGGGAATACTGTTTGGTAATGGATGATGAGGTTTTTAAAACATGTTTCTCAAAGGAAATAGATTTTTCAGAATTATCAAATGATCATTTAAAAATAGGTAAGACTGACAATTTTAAAGCACTGTGTTTAAGGTTAACAAAACTCTTAAATAGTCCAGATTGACAATCTGTATTAGTTGAGAGCTATTCTCTGCAGAATATACATTTTGTTGTAAGAATTGGGCTACGAAAAATCTTTACAACTGAATCAGTTGTTTGCCTTTTTGTAATTCATCAAGACCTCAGATTCTGGGGCTGTATGAGAAAAAATTCACCTTAGTTTCTGATACATTACATGTCCAGTATGGCCTGCAGACTGCTCCCATCTTTGCTCTCTTTGAAAGGAACGCAGGATAGCTCTACCATGCACTGCTGAGAATTAAATGATCAGATTACAGGTAACAGATCCATCACATGGGTCTGTGCAACCAGTCACCCCAGCCTGGCGGAGAAGTGAGTGGAGGGCAGGGAGATCTGCATCGCTGGCCTGGACACTGAGAACCGCTGCTGGGAAACCACCCCAGCACCAAGTGGCATTTCCTGAAGCTGCAGTCCTGGCTTGGCATCACTAGCGGGTGCCGAAACAGAGGGCATTGACTCGCTAAGGAGGTTCTTCACACACTTTGGTGGCCACTAGAAGTACGGCTGATCTGCGTACAGCGAAGGGATAAACCTCTCTGCACTTCTGCAGGGCAGCTCTGTATTTCTGTGCAAAGGGGGGTCAGAGTGCTGCATTCACCCTACTCAGCTTCGAATGCTCACTTTAAAGGCAAGCTGCATCTTGTACTTGCAATTCCCTTTCCTTTAAATAGTCTCCTGCATGTAATTCCTGAAACGGTGCTTTTCATCAGACATCACTCAGGACTAAAGACAAGCATTTGTGAATGAGAGTCATCTGTACACTTTGTGGTGACTGCAGAACACACAGAAGAAATGCTGCTGCTGCTGGTTTTTTTTTTTTTAATACCACTGAGATCCTGATGATTTCCTCTGTGTTTCGTAGATTATCAATCTGTGCAAATCCTGTACATATGAGAATGACTTTTCTGAATATTTATTTCTTCTCTACTACTGATTTTTCTTACATAAGTACACCCTTAAACTCCACCAATCTTTGGCTAAATAATAAACTCATCTGAATATAGTGAAAGGTTGTTCAAAAAAATACAGGTTTGAGAGAATTTCTAGATCTAGGTGACCATCATTGCCATATAGAGACTGTATTTGAAACCAAACTGAATTTGTGGGCAACAGGGGAAAGGAATTACTGGCATAATTTTCAGTTTTCCTAGTATCATTTCCAGTCTGTATAGGGTAGCAACAATCTGTTATTTCATACAGAAAGTCATACATAATAAATAATAAATAATTTTGATTCACAGTACCAAAAAGACCAAAACCTGCGTGCATAGATTTGCACATGACATCCGTAACTGTTGTATCAGAACACCTTGATGTAGCTGTTAGTTTACCTCTTTTAGGGCAGCATCATCAAGAAGAGTAGAGTTCAATGGTCCACAGTTACGTGTGAAGTTTCTGGATAAACTAGGAAAAGTAGATTCTTTTTCCCCACTTTCTCATTGTGTTTTCTACACATCCACTTTTGGGGAAAATGTAATACTAACAGCTCTGAACCATAAGGTGAAAAAATAGCCCATAGGGTCAAAACTTGCTTCTATCTTGTGCCTAAAAGACCACTTGGTAAGAAAACCCCTGTAAGCTTAAACTTCACCGTTGTTTTTTTTTCTGCAAGGTCTGGGACTGAGAAAACTGCTACTTCAGACAGTGAGCACATGCACCAACTATTCAAACACACAACTATGTGAAACAAAACTTTAAGACTACAAGAGATATAAAAGTCCTGTTTAAAAAAAAAAAAAAAAGAATGGAAGGACCTTCCATCATACTTCCAATACTACTTTTGCCATCTCTAAACCCTTTTAATTCACGCACAAACAGAAACACACACAAATTTAATATAGCAAATTTCATTATCTTCGTTGTCTATTTTTACAGTTACCTCCTTGAGCAGAAGCTATTATTGATTCCCTCACTAGGGGGAACTTGTGTCCAGCTTGCCTTATTCACATTACACCACCTTCTGATGAACACAATCCTCCACATGCCCCTTTAAAAGCCTTTTGCTCAGTAATAGTCTGCTTGCATAATGCAGCGATCAAGAAGCTAACAGAGGCTGCACTCTTATCGCTGTGAGCAAAGCTCAGCTGCCATCCTGCCAAACAAGAGCAGCTCAAATTGCTCATATTTTAGCAAGGAAAGGAATCCCTGTATTTGCGATGGAAGGGAACAATAGAGTCTACTGCACAAGGCCAGTCAGGTTTCATGCTTGTCTTCTGCTCATTTAGGTCACCTCTTTTTGTAACCACTGGATATACGTGATGAACTATTCCCTCTCTCTTTTATAGACAGTTAAGAATTTCAAAAGTGTAACAGATATATCCGATATTGGTCATCTTTAAACAAAAGTGATGAAGCTTTTGTTGACCATACCCTACACATTAGTATGTGATGACGCTAGAAAAGAACTACTTTTTAAATGGCGCTGTCCCAAGTTCCTTCATCAGGACAACAGGTTCCTGGGAACCATGGGTACACAATCTCATCAGCTGCTCTTCTTGATACTTTCCTGGTCCAACACTTCAGTGATAAACTCAGATCTTATACTTCCACTGTTTCTTACCAATAGTCCACTAATAAAACAGAGCATCCACCCACATGGTGGGATGAAGACAATAAAGAACTCCATCCTTCACAACAGTAAAACCAGCAAAACAGGTTTGAGTGGAAACAGGTGAAACACAAAGTCCTGTATTGTTTCTTGTGTGATCAAATAGCCAAAAGCCAACATACAGGGAACTGATGTGTCTTCAGTATTCTGCAGATCCATCAGGATGCTTCCAGGTCTCTCTCATATTTCATCTTTTATCCTGGTTCCAATATCCTGATTGCTTTTCAACTATCATTAAACACCAAGTAGCATTCTTGTAGCTCACTACACGCAATGCCTTGCTGTAATGACTAATGTTGGACATTCTACCAAGCAAAACCCAACCACATTGCACTTACTGGCTATGCTCCTAGTGTTCCAAGCTGCCTTGAGCAAGCAAGAGTTCATTGCTGTGCAGCCTCGAGAATGAATTCCCTATCCCATCCCAGATTCTTCCTTGCAGTGGGAAACAAGATGTACTCCTGTTCTAAAAATGCAGCTAATTACCCCGTATTTCCTCACATACTTGCTCTTGTAAGCAAGGGAGGAGACTGAGGGGCAGCGAGTAAAAAACTCCCTCCATTTTTCTGTCCTTTCCTATCCACTAAGCCTGCAAATGGAGTAAGGGCAAGCAGCATTTTTTTTTTTTTTTCTGTGCAGGCAGGATTACAACTGCAGGAGAACTAAGCAGAAGGATTTAGGAGAAAACAAAGGTCTTACCTCCCCATATGGCTAAGCGTTACAATAATTTAATTTGTTATTCTCCATATACCCTAGAACATCTACTCCCTGCCTCCGCACCCCCAAGTCAGCACAATCAACTACCTTCACTGTTTATTAAGTTTTATACATGATGTGCAATAATAGTTAAGTACCAAGCAATACAGGAAGCAGTACAAATAACTGGATGTAATGGAACTGATCATTTTTGTTCAAGACTGATTGTGTAGTTCCAAAAAAACACATCAATGCATCTTTGGAGCAGAAAGAACAAGTTCAGTATAGTTTGTAAGCACTGCATGATTTGGGCCAATTTGCCATTAATTTTTAAAGAGTGTCTGGTGCTCCACGGAAAACTTCTATATATAGAGACATTCTTGCTTATAGATCATTTTTACATTTCTCTTCCTCTTTTTCCTCTATTACTGCTCAGTGGAGCCAACATGCTGATCCAGGATTCAAGTTAGGGGAGCTGTCTCCTGGCTCAAACTAATGGCAGGGGGAGAACCAAGAAGTTTCTTAACTGTTTCCTCACCAAAATTACATTTAATGCTACTGACTTTTTAGAATAAATAGTGTCATTTAACAAATTTCTTCTTAAAAAGCTTATAAAACAGTTAGCCAGCATGCCTTCATACGTGTAACTTAAAAGCAAGGTAAGAGAACTACTATCATTAACACTACAAAGAATATAAAAGTGAGAGTGCTTTAAAAGAAATACAAATCAAAAACCAATCAGATAAAGAAAGCTGAGCTCTGTCTAGCTGCAAAAATATGCAAATATAAGACACAAGTTGAGGATTTCAGCAGAGCAGGAGAAATAAATTCTGCTAGAGAGAAGCACATTATTACTTTGCAGTAACTTTGATCCTGATGAACACGCTTATTTATCTCAGGCAGCTTTTAGGACTTGCCACTGGGGGCAAGAAG